AAGACCAAATAAGTTCATTGTTAGGGTTAACACGCCCTTTAGATCTCATTATAATGTCATTTAGTAATTTGGCCACTTTTACTTGGTTTGCAGGTTGTAAGTTGAAGTTCCTTTTTTGTGTAACAGAAGTTACTGTAAGAAATGCAGCCCAAATATATTCTCTGCATTGCACATCCCTAAACTTATAAGAAAGTGTCTTTGTGTAAACCTGGTGCAAAAACCAGCAAAGCAGCTCCAACTAACTACCTCCAGTACATGTGATCTGTGAACCCAGAGCAACCTGGAATGAATTATATGCATACCCCACTACCTGTGACTGAGGGCATTATTCCTGCTCTGCCACTTTGATAGTTCACAACAGTTACTGATGAAAGTATCGCTCACACAATCGTCCCTCTCTTTGGCACTGACCCTCTGACCCGCTCCTTCCTCCATCCCTCTGCCACACTTCACTAACAATGGCTACTTGTCAAAGCGGAGGAAGACACATATACACACACACACACACATATCACTTTATGTGTAAAATATTGTTTGTCAGACTTGTGACTTTTGTTTTTCCTGTTATATGCTCTCTTATACGAGTGATTATTTTGTTTATTGCAAGCCGTATAAGTACCTGCATTTGATCCCTTATCAGACTATTACGGTCTCTGGCTGGAGTGTGAGAGGAAGAAGCAGCCCAAGCCAGTTACTTAATGTGCTGGCAAGAAGGTGATAGGGGGGCAGAGCAGAGTGATAGATGAGATCATCACTGTGCTGCTTCTCCTTTCACTGTCTAGTCAGAGACTGGGGCGGACCCAGGATGACCTGAACTCACAGGTTGAATGATGCTGGTTGCCAAATTGAAGACATCTAGTGGCAGAAAAAAGAACTGCAGGGGATATCTCTGGATTTAAAGTGAATGTTGCAGCAAATGCTGGTTTTGTTATTTTATCTTTTAATGGCCTATTCATTTTTTAGCATTGTTGGCTCTAGTTCTGTTTTAAGGCTTTCTGTATTACTTAACATCATGTAAAATTAGATCAAAGCACTAACCATTTAGGGGCTAGTTGTCAGGGTACCATGCACAGGCGTCCTCACACCACATGCAGGTACCCACGCAGGATGACCAAATTAATATGCCCACACAGGATAGGGTTCTATGCACAGTTTATTTGTTACCATCAAAATGTATAAAGGCTTCGGGGTGGGTGCCATTTGAAAGACATTACAGCTGCTAGATGGTACCAAGTAACATAGGAAATTCCTGTTCTCCTCAGCTCCATTTAGTGGCTGTAATGCCATAATGTCTCCATAAAGAGGACCTGTGACACCCTATCTGCTATTACATAGGGGGCTTGTTAGTCCCCTATGTGATAGCAATAACGTTAGTGTAAAAAAAAAAGTGTTTAAAAATTAAATTAACATATAAAAATAATTTTAAAAAATGCAAAAAATGTTTTTTTAAAGTCCCCCCACCTGCACACACATACATTCGCAAAAATGCGTGCAAAAACAAAACTTTTGCTACACATGTTACATATCGCTGCGATCATCAGAGATGAGCGGTAAAAGCTTATAAAGTGTCCCCTATAGGAAATTTGGGGTAATTAATTTTTTTGCCGCTTCACGGGCGAACACAATTTTAAGGCTTGGCATGTTTGGTATATAGTTACCCAATGTGACCCCATCTTTTATATTTTACCAAAAAATGGGGTATTACATTCTGTTTCTGTGCACTAAATTTCATTTTAGTGTATTTTTTCCTATAAATACTGGTTTGATAAACATTTGCGCAAATGCCATGCGACATAAAAAATTGCAACTAGCATTTTTTCATTCTACAGGGCCTCTGCTTTCAGAAAATATTTCATTGTTTGGGGGTCTGAAGCTATTTTCTAGCCAAAAATTCAGATTTTATCATGTGTGTGCAAAGGACAGAAAGTGGTTAAAAGGGATCCTTGCAGTAAAGGTAACACTGGCAGTGTCGTATTTTTGGCGAATTTTGCTAACACCCGGATCATACACTGAAGAATAGGAAAGAACAAATGCTGCACATTGGGAGGGAAAAGCGGAAACAGTTCAACAAATTGATTATTTGCCTTTTTCAAACAATACGCCTGCGATTGCTCACTCGCTGTGGATGTTGCTGTTATCTTTGTGTTGCCCTCAGAGGGGGGGGGGGGGGGGGGGCGGGGCC